GCACCAGGGGGCAGAGGGAAGGAAGGATCAGGCCCCCTTGCCATTTTTTTTTCCTCAGTGGAGCCTGCCCACACAAGCTGCTCCTGCGCTGTGCTGCCTCTGAGCTTCAGGGGGGTTTGGTCCTTCCTTCTGCAGCAGCAGTGCTATCTGGGCAGAATACTAGCTGCATGGGTGCTGCCCCAGCTCACGGGCAGCACCTGCCGGATCCAACTCTTCTCTAAGCCTGTGCACTGGAAGCCCATTGGGTGCTGCTTCCTGCACGGGCTCGGGGAGGAATTGGATCCAGTGGGTGCTGCCTGCAAGCTGTGGCAACATCCGTGCAGCTGGCACTCCACTGGGGTGGCCCCAGGGGCACTGCTGCTGCAGAGGGAAGGACCAGGTCCTTCTGCAGCTCAGGGGCTGCACGATCTGGTGGCAGCTTGTGTGAACAGGCTTCGCTAAGGGGAAAAAAAGTGGCAAGGCCTGATATTTATTTTTTTTAATTTTTTCATGGAGTCTGCCCACCTCTCCTGCAGCCGGGGGGCAAACTGCTGGTGGGCCCTGAGCTGTGGGGAGCCCCAGACCTTCCCTCCAAGGCGGCAGCACTCCCAGGGTGGCACCCGCTCACTAGCAGCCCATCCAGGTGGCCCTGGGGGGCACTGCCACCATGGAGGGAAGGGCCAGGGCCTCCCCGCAGTTCAGGAGCTGCTCATTCCACCTACAGATCGCCCCCAGCCACAGGAGACCCTGGCAGGCTCAGTGGGGGGAAAAAAGGATCGGGCTCCTTACCATATGTGGCAGGGTGCTATTGGTGCCTGCCACTTTAAGGGCTGGAGCAGGTAGCAGCCAGGTGCTTGACTACGGTGGCCATTTTGAGACCCAGCATATATATAGGGTGAAGCTGCAGTTAGCTGCTGACAGCTGAGAGAGAGCTGGCGGAGTTGAGGCTCAGGAATAGCTTGGAGGTTTATGGGCTGGGACTATGGGGATGGAGAAGGCTCCTGGTCCTGGGCATGACCTAAAACTGCATCCTGCTGGAGATGGGTGGCCTGGTGGGGCTCCTGGTGGCATGGGAGCCTCCAGGAAATGTCAAGCCGGTTACCACCCCAGTGAAAGGTGCGTCAGAATACCTTAATAATCTCAGCTCCCACAGCCGAGTGAGTAACCCCATAGTATGGCCCGAGAAGGTGGACCCATGTAAGAGAGTGTGGGCTAGGTGCTTAGAAGCCTGACTTGAGGCACCCTCAACTGGTCAATGCTGGGGCCAGGACCAGAAGGGTCAAAAGGGCCATGGGCCCACCACAAGGGATGGGCAGAGCCAAGAGCCTGGGGTTCCAACTGGCCTTGGAGGTGAGGCCAGGGCCTGTGTGGCCAAAAGTCCTCGGAGGGCCACACCTGAGAGGGGGAAGAGTGCAGGGAGCTAGGCAGCCCAGAATGAGGGCAGGGTAGGCCGCCTGATTAGGAGGGATCTAGTTGGAGTCCAAACTGGAGGAATATGGGGCCCAGTGTGGGGCTGGAGACGTTAAAAACGTAGATGCCATCTGCAAGGCATGG